TACATAAAGGGATCATTGAGGACCAAAAGTGACTGGAAAAGTTGTGAATATATCAAACTCAGTCAAGTCCTGCTCCTGTTTCTCAATAGAGATATTTTCTACAAAGACAAGATCTGTCAAACACAGAAGCCACATATTTTTATTCAAGAAGTGATAAAGTTTTCTGCATTATATATGTATATAGGAACATAAAATTGACAAGTTCTGGTATCTTGGGTTCCAGCTGAGGCCTGGGGACACAGCAGGAGAAAAGAGATGGGAAAACTCAATGAGCAAGTACCCACAGCACTTTGAAAGAGTAATATATCTGATTAATCATCTTCTGGATCACACCCAGGGAAGTCAGTGGTGAGTTACAGACACTCCTGGGCCCTTTCAGACCACTGAAGTGATGGGAAAAGGCCTTTGTGCTCCTGAGAGCCAGGCTATAAGTGAGCACCACTGAAGAGATCTCCATCAAACCAGAGTGGGTTTTTTTCTGAAGGAAGAGTGCAAACTTTAATTAACTCAATAGCTGTCAAGAGCTCAGAGACCTGCAGATTAATTGGTGCTGGCTGCAGAACTGTAGAGCACCAGCAGTGCAAACGTGCCCTGAAGACTGGCAGGGAGCTAGAGGAGCTGGGTGAGGAGCTCTCATACACCCCTGGTGATGGGCGAGTGCCAGGGGAGCTCCTCACCACATTTTTTGCCAAAAAATGCCAAAGTGCAGAAAAAAAATGCCAGCCCAAGCTGCCCAGTACTGATGGATTCTGGCCACTGAGGGACCCTCTGGGCTGGATGTGGTTTCTGTCCTCCCCTGCCAGCTGTTAAACCAGTAGGAATGGTTTCTTGGCTGTCATGGGCTTTCCTGTGTCCTGGGAAGGAATTGCTCTTGGAAAGGAAACAAAAGGTGCTGCATGAGCTGTGGGGCTGAGCAGGGACAGGACACAGCTCTGCAGCACATGGGGCAACCTCTCCTGCTTGAAAACTGGGTATTCCAGGGCAGCATCGTGCCTTCAGCACAGAGAGAGGAGCTCAGCCTCCAGCAGAAGGAGCTCATCAAGCTCATGGGGCAACAATGTGCCCTTGTGGCCAAGGCCAATGGGATCTTGGGGTGCATCAGGAGTGTGTCCAGCAGGTCGAGGGAGGTTCTCATCCCCCTCTAGTCAGCCCTGGCGAGAACTCACTTGGAGTGTTGTGTCCAGTTCTGGGCTCCCCAGTTCCAGAGGGACAGGGATCTACTGGAGAGAGTCCAAGGGAGGCTGCGGGGATGATGAAGGGGCTGGAACACCTGCCTGAGGAGGAAAGCCTGAGCGACCTGGGGCTGTTCAGTCTGGAGAGGAGAAGGCTGAGGGGGGATCTAATGAATGTCTATAAATACATGAGGGCAGCAAGAAGGCAGGACAAGCTCTTGTCACTTGTGCCCTGGGACAGGACGAGGGGCAATGGATTCAAACTGGAGCCCAGGAAGTTCCACCTCCACATGAGGAAGAACTTCTTTCCTGTGAGATTGACAGAGCCCTGGGACAGGCTGCCCAGAGAGGCTGGGGAGTCTCCTTCTCTGGAGACTTTCCAGACCTGTCTGGATGCCTTTCTGAGTGACCTGCCCTAAATTTGGTCCTGCTCTGGCAGGGGGGTTGGACTTGATGATCTTCAGAGGTCCCTTCCACCCCATCTGTGATTCTGTGAAGTCTGCAGTGGGGTTAGTCAAGGCCCCAGGCTGGGCCAGGGCACTGCAGGCTACAAGAGTTGGGACAGGCTGCCCAGAGAGGCTGTGGAGTCTCCTTCTCTGGAGACTTTCCAGACCTGTCTGGATGCCTTTCTGAGTGACCTGCCCTAAATTTGGTCCTGCTCTGGCAGGGGGGTTGGACTTGATGATCTTCAGAGGTCCCTTCCACCCCATCTGTGATTCTGTGAAGTCTGCAGTGGGGTTAGTCAAGGCCCCAGGCTGGGCCAGGGCACTGCAGGCTACAAGAGTGAAATGTCTGGAGTAGATATATTATTATCAGGTATTTTCTGCCAGCTGGAATGTGAAGTGTTGGAGATAAAACATTCACCTACTGAAAAACTGGCTGAAATGGAAACTAGCTTTTAATTAGAAAGCAGCTTTGCAGGCTGAGAGCAGCAGGCACCAGGACTCTCAGTCCCAGGGGACGTGCAGGGTCACTACCAAACAAAACAGGAAATCCAGAACCAGGGTCAACCTTGCAGCTGTGTAGAAACACCCTCCTAGATCAGTTCAGGCCAGCAGCTTCCCCTGCCTGGAGCAAGGTCAGGCCCAGAGCTCTGGTCCAGCACGGCAGAGGACAGGAGTGATTTTAAAACCAGCATTAAGTGCCCCCTGCAGCACAGGGGACATACTGGGGAGGGGACGTGCTCCTGCCACACAACTTCCAGTGCTGCTGAGCCCCTGACGCAGGTGGGGAGAGGACCCACTGACAGCTGCGCCAGGTCTGCCCTGTGCCTGTGTCATGTCTGCTCCCTCTTCCTCAGGAACAAACTCATCTCTTTGGTGATCTGCTCCACTATGAAGAAAGTCACTCCAGAAGCAATAATCATGCAAGGCTGTGATGCCTCTTTTGGCCTGAAAGACAGGGAAGTGGAGAGTTGCCCTGGGTCATTTCAGATAAATGGAAAAGAAGGAGCTTTGGGATTCACTCGTTTTTCCCTAGGCTCAGTTTCAGCTTTTGCAAAGCAATGGGCAGTGTCAGAAAGAAGGTGCTTCCCCAGGGAACTCCCTGAGGGCTGTCGGGTTCTCTCCAGGTCAGCTCAGAGGTCAGTGCCACCTCCCACTCTGCACTGTCCTCAGTCTGCTCCTGTTCTGCAGCCCCGGAGACACAGAGAGAAAAGACGGCACCCATGGGAGGGAGCACCAGCCTGGTGCCCACAGGGTGACAGGCTGCTCTGAACTGAGGGACCTGGGGGTGCTGACCTGGAGAACACCAGCCTGGAGCAAAGGAGGCTGAGGGGAGACCTGCTGGCTCTGCAGCTGCCTGGGAGGAGGTTGGAGCCAGGGGGGTCGGGCTCTGCTCCCCAGGAACAAGGGATGGGAGAAGAGGAAATGGCCTCAAGTTGTGCTGGGGAGGTTTAGCTTGGATCTTGGGAACAATTTCTTCCCCAAAAGGGCTGTCAGGCCCTGGCCCAGGCTGCCCAGGGCAGGGGTGGGGTCCCCATCCCTGGAGGGATTTCAAAGCCAAGTAGATGTGGTGCTGAGAGACATGGGTTAGGGGTGGCCTTGGCAGGGCTGGGGGAATGGGTGGACTGGAAGATCTTAAAAGGTCTTTTCCAACCCAAATGATTCAGTGATTCAGCATTTAATGGCCACATTGCATTGATGGCCCCCAGCCACACTGTGACCCC